CGAAGTTTAGCCATCTCTTTGTCTTTTCAATTTCAGTTCTTAAATTCATCAATCAATCCTTTCATTTATGTGATAGGCCTGTATTTAAAATAAATATTTACCACAAATTAAAGGTATCTTATATTATTAGATATGTTATTATAAAACATGCTTTAGTTAAATAGTTATTGATACTTCAAGTGCAAAATGATGATATAAAATCTTAATAAAAATGCACTTTTAAGTACTAATCAAAGGTATTAAAAATTAATTTTTTTTAAAAATGTTACACACTGAAAATGATGTAAATATATGTATATATATATATATATATATATATGAATGTTTTACTAATTTGAATTTCTTTGTAACAAGATAAAAAAAAAAGAAATAGATAATGACATTAAAAAAAAAAATTGTTGTATGTTGTTTTCACTAGATAATGACATTAAAAAAAAAATTGTTGTATGTTGTTTTCAACTAGCAATTGTATTGGTAGATAACTATTATACTCTATATTATTAGATTGATAGATTGCTGGTTTATTGATTAATATGCTATATTTTTTTATTTTTTAATAATAAAAAATAAAATTAAAAACTTAATTTCAAGTGAAAATAAATAACAACCTTATTTATCAAACAAAATATAAAATTTTAAACTTAACCCTAACAAGTTTACAATAATATCAAAAATATAAACTAGAAAAGAATGTAAATAACATAATAGATACTTAAAATAATAAAAAATATATAATGTGTGATAAGTAGGGGAAAAAAAGGAGATAAATAACATAAGAATATGAATAAGTTTTAGAAATAAATTGTGTATATATGACTCAATTATTTTGGATAACCTATTTATAATATTATAAAGATGGAACTTTATATAAACATATAATTATAATCTCATATAAATTATCTAAGGTGCATGGAGACTACATATCTTAATCCTAGTACAATTTGTAACTCTATGTGTTTATGTCATTTTTTTAATATGTCTGGCTAAAATATGTTTTTTCTTGTATAGGACATGATTGATAAATCCTTAAAGTAAATCTTAATATGTTAGTTTATGATGGATTTCATTTTACTAGTTTATTTGAAAATTAATAATGAATAATTATTGTTTTTTATTATTCGAATGATTTATTTTTTATATAAACAATATGAAAGTAAATATATTTACATGATATTAGCTAGAAATATTTTTTGTCTTGATTTTAATATAAATATAGTAAGATTTATTTATATATGTATATGTATGTAAATAAAAGACTTTGGTTGGCCTATATTCCCATTTGGATGTATGGAAGGTTGGGGAAAGTATTGTGAGATTTTATTAGGCTTAGAGGAGCAAAATTGTAAAACACTTTATGAAGAGGACTACTTTGTAATAATCCGTGAAATAAATTTCACGTTACTTTAAAATGTCACGCACACCCAAGAAGCACAAACAAAGTTTCCCCAGGACTCTCTCTCTTGCTCTGTGTCAATTGTCACAGCTTCGATCTTTTGATACAAATTATACTAATGTCTTACTCCGATAATAACTCGGACCCGAATCAACCCAAACCGGGTACCCGTCTCTACAACCCCTATCAGGATCTCCACTTACCCTCCCAAACACTCTACCATCTCCCCACCTCGCCCGAATATCTCTTTACAGAGGAATCCCTCCACCAACGCCGCTCTTGGGGTGAAAACCTTACCTTCTACACCGGCTCCGCCTACCTCTCCGCTTCCATTGCTGGCGGCGCCGCCGGGTTCATCTCCGCTTTCCGATCCTTCGAGCCCACCGATACCCTCAAGCTTAAGGTCAACAGGATCCTCAACTCCTCCGGTCATTCAGGTCGGGTCTGGGGTAACCGGGTCGGAGTTGTGGGTTTGATTTACGCTGGGATGGAGAGTGGCATCGTAGCGATCACCGATAGGGATGATGTGTGGAGTAGCGTAGCTGCTGGGCTTGGAACTGGGGCGGTTTGTAGGGCGGCCAGGGGGTTTAGGTCGGCGGCGGTGGCAGGTGCGCTTGGTGGGTTGGCGGCTGGTGCGGTGGTGACTGGGAAGCAGGCGTTGAAGAGGTATGCAATGATTTGAAGGAAAGAGTGAGAGAGAGAGAGAGAGAGACCAAATTGAAAAAAAAATGATAAAAAGGGAGTTTTTAGTTTTTTCACTATTATTATTGGAGTTGTATTTGTTTCATTTTTTATAATGAATCTGTTGTTAGTGATTACAATGATCAAAAAAGACTTGTTGGAATAAAAAAATTCAAAGTAAATTGGTTAGCATAAGCATGCTGAAGAATGACACTGATGCAACTGGTTCAATGATGAATATCATGCTATCTTTGTTGTATCTATGGAATGATTGGCTGTTTCTGTTTTAGATACTTCGCAATTCCTTAGTCACATTGTCCCTTATGGATCGAATAGAATGGTGGCTTTTTTTGCCGGATGAGATTTAGATAACGAGGAGGATGATTTTTCTTGTTTACTCTATCAACATGGTATTTGCACTTATTTTTTTTATTTACAGGGGTAATTAGTTTCATCTGAAAGCATTAGAAATAGCATCGAATGATGACATGATGGCTGAGCGCTGCCTATTCTTTTGGTGTTCTAATTTTCCCAATTGTTGTTACTCCAGCTATCTCCAATTTGTCATTAAAGAATCCTTTTCATCCTTTCTCACTAAAGTAAGCGAGAATCTGGATTCAAGTTCTTAAGTGTGCTAGCATTGTTAGCTCTGATGATTGTATGATTGGGTTTTGGAAAGAAATGTGATTAGTTTATCCATGGATTTGAGGAATATTGACAGATTTACTCTTTCGTTTGATTGTTGGTGTTTGAATTTGTGTCAGCTTCTCTGCTAAGAATTGCTTGGGTTGCTGGATGTGGATTCTGGTTAAATGTCTTATCAATCTCATTCTGATCTAGTTGTTGTTATTTAAGCTATCAACCGGAAGCTAGATGTATTCAATGTCTGCTTATTGTGTGGGAAACCCTGGAAGATTGAATCATGCCTTCAACATTTGTTCATGTATCAGTGACCTGATAGATAATGTAGTACTTCTCTTCCATCATCAATCTACTATTGATGGAAATAAGGATCTCAATGTTACCAAAATCCATACCACAGCGACTAAAGAGGAAGTATCCTTAAACTGTGAGCACGAAAACTGTTCTTTCCCGTGTAATATCTCCCTGTTTATTCACCCTAAAAAGAATGTGGTCAGGTAATATCGGCAAAATCCTGGTAATATCTGCAAAATCATTGAATGCTTTGTGACAATGTGACTTTGACATGAACAGAAATGTAGTTTGGATAAGAATGCTCTTATTGCCTGGCTTTGTGGTGATGGTTTGGATTTTGAAATACTGTATGTCAGGAAGGTTGTATTAAACCCATATGGCTCCACCAAAATTGATCATGATGTTGATAATTTCTGGTAGAGGCTGCTTGTTTCTTTCGTTATTTTCTGCATCAATTTTCCCTGCAGACTATAGAGGTGGTAATATTCCCATGAATTTTATTTTGTGTTGGGGGGGAAGCCAAATGGATCTCTGCATCAATCTTCCCTGGAGACTTTGTTTCTTTTTAGCAGTCTGCTCTAGCTTTCATTGCAACTTGTATCTGGATCAATTGCTATATGCATGGATTGTACTCCATAATGACATGCTTTTCGTCAATTGTGAATGGAATCAGGATCCCATTGCTGATGCATGTTAGACTAACAATGGGCAGCCCGCCGTGATGTTCTCTAGGAATGCATCATGATAAGAAATAAAAACATAAAACAATCAGGAATTTTGTAAGAAATGTGAACACGTAGTGTGTGGAATGAGCCGCCATCTTTTTCACACAATACAGAGTGCTGCACATGTAGGAGTAACGCTGCTTCTTATTTAGAGCATGTGTGTGGAATTGTAGTGGACTTGTGAGAGTATGAAAATAATATTTTTTAATTTTTAAAAAATTATTTTTAATATTAGAACATTATGAAAACATTAAAAAATATTAATTTTAAATAGAAAAATATAAAAAAATTAATTTTTTTAAAAGGATTTTCTCTCTCAAAAAAGACACGAAACTGGGGAGAGGCCACTTTAACTTAAATTGAAACACGGCCCTTATGAAGCAGGGGAGCCTCCTTCCCCGTGGAAATGAAGGCTTCTTATGGAACGAGAGCTTTACATCTACTAGTTTGTATAACATGGATGCTTTGTAAGTTCCTAAGTGAAACAGATTTGTTTGTGCGCAAGGTTCAAATGGATAATATCCCAGCTAAAATAATTGGAGTAAACATGAAAGCATTCATTTCCATGGGAATCACAAGTTGGTAACTTTAGTGTCCTGATGGGCAAATCTCGCTTCCAGAACTTGGGGAGAAGCAAATTACGATTTCTAAACTGGAAACAAGGAAATTTCACTTGGTGCTGAAATGAGCTCGTCCAAATCCATGATAATCAAAAGGAAGCGTTGTCAAACTGGATTCCCGAAGACATTTCACCTTGAATGGGTTAAAAGAATGCCGTGCAAAGCCATGTGTTATCAGAATTACAAGGAGTCAGAACCTGAAAGGGAATGCAGGGCGACAGCATACTGTCATCAGCTCCCGGTTTAGAAGAACACAGAAAACTAGTCATGCTCGTTTACTATATGTCCATCCACGGGATCGAGCTTCATTCAACGAAGAACGTGAGTAGCACCAACTAGATCATTGAATCATTCATCTATTTAGATGTTAAATTTGAAGGGGAGAAAAGGTCTTGTGCATTACCCACTAAATGGGGGTTATTACCCTCTGCGAGGGCAAAAATTGAGTTTGCAGTTCAAGCCTCAATGCCCCACTTAATATTCGGTTATTCCACCAAATGTTGTTGCTATAAAGAGTTTCCTGGTGATACATAAACGCCAAACAAATAGAACTCAGCAATGGCAATTGGGATTACATCAAGTACCTCTGGTGTTAATCACAGCCAAAAAAGAGATGTCTACTGAAAGAAATGATGAGAGCAGCCACCTAGCGATCTACAGCAACATTGACTCGGGATTCTCAATGTAGCCTTTGAAAGCTTTTAGCCATTCGGCACCGGTTGCACCTGAACAGGACCAGTGGAATCAACAGCGTTATATCATCACAATTCTCAAAATTATGTCGAATAAAGCTAAAGATGTTTGTATGGCTAAAGAAGTCAACAGAAGTACATACCATCTATAACACGATGATCACAGCTTAGTGTCACTGACATGAAGGAAGCGAATTTGAAATCATCGTGACCCGAACCAGGGATGACCCTCTTCTCAGCTGCTCAAGGAAAAAGTCAGTGAATTTGGTCTGGAAGTAGTAACTAAGTGCCTATCTTACCAGAGCCAACCGCTAGAATGCCTGATTGAGGACGATTAATGATTGCACAAAAATTTTTGATGCCAAAGGGCCCTCCCAGGTTGGAAACCGTAAATGTGCCTCCCTGAAAAAGGAAAAACACACATTCATAAGCAGTTCATGTGCGATAACCATCCACTTGACCCATCTCCCTTTAATATCTTTGCAAGATAACCTTCTTCCATGCATTCCATCTAAGCAGTTGCTTTATCCTTAAAATATTATGTAAAGGGGAAGCATCAATATTCCATGACAAGCAACACAGCTAGAATTGAAAACAAACTGTCCGGGACCCTACAGTTTCAACTTCACAGAGAACTTCACCGGGTGAAATTGTCACCCTCCTTCTTCAACCACCTTGCTATATTACCCTGAAATTTCAGAAAGAATCACTTAGCAGACCAAGCCTGCATTGTTTTCCTATAAGATGAAGTCATTGTGGGTGAGAGCGAAGGCATTCCAATCTCTTGGTAGTGAGGAAGACCTGAACAAATTTTAAAAAATAAACCTTAAAGTTAGTTAAGCTAGAAACACATGATGACTATTTAACAACCCTTAGAGAAGCTCTGTCAGAAAAGCAATATCCGTCTTAACCCATATTTCAGAATACCAGATTTTGAGGCATTTAACTTTCACGCACAAAGAAGTAAAAGTAAATTTATTCATGTTCCTTTACAGTCTCCAGTTCAAGTCTAGGAAATGAGAGCATTTTGTTTCTTCAATAAATTCATGTTGTTTAAAATCAAATTAAATAAACAGACATACCAATTTCCACATTGAGCCACATAAGATTTTTACACTATTTCTCCACATCTGAATTTTATTTTCCACTCCTAACAAACTTCCTCCACAAATATTCAATAACCATTATTATTGAAATGAGCGCATTTTGTTTCTTCAATAAATTCATGTTGTTTAAAATCAAATTAAATAACCAGACATACCAATTTCCACATTGAGCCACATAAGATTTTTACACTATTTCTCCACATCTGAATTTTATTTTCCACTCCTAACAAACTTCCTCCAAAATATTCAATAACCATTATTATCTAAAAGCAATTACAGATGAACCACATGCATAGCATGTTCCCGTGCTCTTGGCAATGCAGTAAAAGGAGAATTTCAACAGAGGATAACCCAATGCAAGGCACATGTCACAGTTTCGCATGAGAGAAAAGGTATTTTGATTCTAAATTTTCAGCGTTGAATAGATTTCAATCATGTTATGCAATGCCACTTGCATAAAAGTCAACATTTCAAGCTGGGCTTAAACGGTGGCAAGAAGCCACAATGCATGAGACATAATTCGTAATCCAGAATAAGAGTTCAGAAAAACTAAAGGAGATCATCAAGCTATGGATGCGAAGAGTAATAAGAAAGCTAGATCAGCTATTCAAACAAAGAAATAAAAAAAGAAGGCACAAACTCTACCTGAATCAGACGAAAATCCTCTCTTCCAGTGTACCTGTGAACTGATAATGGAAAAGAAGAGAATCAGGTAATAGGAATCATCAAGTGAAAGTTGGACCAGGGAGGGACAAACCTAAGCAATACATACCCAGAAAAATCCTTTGTTAACAGTGGTCCAGAAATTGGGTTTCCAACTTTCATTATCATCCTAGAAACATCTTTCCTAGATGCACCAAATGACGTTACCTAAACATCGAGACAAACATCTGTAATTGCTTGCAAAGCGAGACTAACTTTAATTAAAGCAACCTAGATGTTAAAAAAAAAAAAGCAGGAAGAAATGTTTGACCAAAACAAGGGAAGTAGTGTGGAAACCGCAGCAGAAAGGGCTTCAATCAAGTATTACACAGTAAACATGATGATTGTGAGATAGAGGACTACTTACAGCGTGATTAGCGGTGCTTGAATACCTCCTTTTGTCCATAACCTTCCATGCAACTGGAAATAACAAACTTGCCTTAGAACCAATAACAGTCTGCAGTTAATAAGCAGATATACAATTTGCATTCAAAGTCACCAAACCACATATCTAAGGCGAATAACCATGAACATTTCATGCCAGGCATGGGATGGGCTGGAGATTATTTACCAGCAGAGAGGTGAGAATCATTTGACAACCAACGAGCCAAACTGGCGTGATCATGCCGCATTAAGCTGGAAACCACATTTCTTAACTGTCCAAACCACAAAATAAAATTAAAAAATAAAAACTGAATCCAGAAGTCGAAAATTAAGAGAAACAAAGGATGCGTGCAATATATTTTATACAAAGAAATAACAATGATAGTCCAGAAATCCAATTACTATTACTATTATTACCGAAACAAAAAAACAAAAACAAAAAAACAATACCTTCTTTGAGTGTTTGATTAGTTGAGAAGCATACGCCATGACTACTGCTGGAGCTACGACAACTTCAATCAACTTCGTCGAAGCTCGAAACGTAAGTTGTGGGGGGAAAATAAATAAATAAATACACACACACACTACTTTTTTAGGTTTTTCTTTCTTTCTTGGAAAGGCCGGCTGCCCGGCAGATTACAAATCGTGCCTTTTTTTTGTTTTTTGTCGTCTCATTTTTTAATTTGTCTTGACTATAACTGAGGAGTCAGAAATTATTGACTGGTCGCTGGAACAGTGGAATAGTAAAAATAATTGACGAATGTTTTATTTAAAAGTTGTTTTTTTAATTAATTTTTATTTAAAAATATATTAAAATAATTTTTTTATTTTTTTAAATTTATTTTTGATATTAATATATAAAATGATTTAAAATTAAAAAATTTTAAAATTTTAAAAACACTTTTTAAACATTAAAATATGCATAATGTAGCTTTTCCATCAAAATCTCAATTTATTTTTTTAAATAAAACAATGTACCTTTTTTTTCAAAAACAAATTTCTAGCATACACAATTCTCCTTATTTATGCTATTTTAAAAGAATAAAAGAAAAATCAATTGAGAAATAACATGGAATTACAAACGATTAAGTTATAAAATAATAATTAAACAAAATATTAATTATTAAATTAAAAAAATCACTTAAAAACATTATGTTTTTACTATACATCACCTCATTGACATTTCTTATTTCAATAATGTTTTTAAATCTATTTTTTTATTTTAATTAGTTGGGAATGGATTTTATAATTTGTTTCGATTTGCTTCTTGACTCGAATTGCAGGTATAATGAATTAACCCGATTGAGTCAAGTTTATTTTTCTTTTTTTAATTAATTTTTTTAAATTTTATCCTTTAATATTTTATTGGTTGAAAATTAAATTTCATAAATTATTTTGATTCACTTTTTATAAGATTATCCTTATTTCATAAGTAGAAACAGGGATTTAACAGCTTAATCTAAGTTGACTTGAGTCATTTTTTAGTCATTTTGATTTGATTTTAACAACTTAAATAAATTTAATTTCATCCTTTAATTTTGAATTAATTGAAAATTATAATTCAAAATATATTTTGATTTGCTTTTTGAAGGGTATCTAAGTCTCATAACTTGAGCTATGGGTTTAATAGGTTAACTTAAGTTGACTCGAGTTGTTTTTCCGGATTGCTTTCCATAAAATTATCTCAATGTCATAATCTAAGTCAAGGGTTTTATGTGTGATACACCGAGAAGATCCTCTAGAGTCCCAAGAAAAAATCCTAAGTTTTTTAACTTAGGAATGCATTACTCTTTTATAATTTATTGTTTTGAATTTGTCTTATTGGTCATAGGGAGTTAGTCACCTCTAGAATAATAGCTATGTCATGGTCTTGACTAGATGAATTCTAGGAGTCAGCTAACTATTTAGTTGATATAAAGAAATTTTATTTAAAGAGTTAATTTGGAGTAGAAAATGAACATCAAAATTTTTATTCAAACTCGTGGTTGTCTTTCACCCAAAAAAAGTCAAGTTACTATGTATTTTTCATTATGATCTAATAGAGACATATCATTAGTATCAGAGCCATAATAACAACCAATAAAGAGTGTATTTAAATGTTAGAGTAAGGAGTGGAAGGTTTATAGGATGAGTTGCAGCGACTTGAACTTAGAATGAACAATCGTATGCAACAACTTAAGGAGCTTTTGAAGGTTTATTTGATGTTGTTTTCTCCTCAAATGCAACTCAGTCCTCACACTTGGTGAAACAGGGACACACATCTTAATACTAATATTATAAAACAAAAAGTTCTCGTTTGAACATACCTTTTCTTCGAGCAATAATCGAGTTTCCACAATTTGTGAGGGATGATCCCATGGGGAGGTTCAATGGAGTAGCACAATTCCTTGAATTTCAAAGAACTCCTGAAGATCAAAAGGTGTGCTTGACAATTTTTCACAGGGAAGGTGAAGCAAACCAATGGTGGCAATGGTTGAATCGGACATACAATGAAGAAAATCGAACTATGACTTGATAAATGTTTGCAGACGAGTTGTGGGCATGGTTCAATCTGATAGATGGAGAAGACTTTGACGAGGTTCTCTTACATATAAACACAAAGTGGTTCATTTCAGGATTATAAAAAAAAATTCAAGAAATTGGGCAATCGGGTACATGTGTGGACTCAAAAGGCTCTCGTTGAAACTTTTTTGGGCAGATAAAAAACAGAGATAATCGATGGGATACGAATGTTCAAGCTAAAAACTTTGGATTTTTTCTTAAGACCTTAAAGGATCTTCTCGGTGTATCATGCGTATTAACCCGAGTTGAACCGTATCTTTTTTTGTTTTTTTAATTAATTTTTTTTCAACTTCATCCCTCAACATTAAAGGCTTGTTTAGGAGTGTGATTGTAGTTGCTTTTTAAAGTGTTTTTCATGTCGAAATGCATCAAAATGATTTTTTTTTTAAGATCAGCACATCAAAACAATCCAGAACATACAAAAATAAAATTAATTTTTAGCAAAAAAAAAAATTGAATTTTTTGGAAACGTGGGTTGGTTTGCATATCCAAACACTGCCTAAATTTGATTAGGAATCGAGTTTTATAATTTGATTTGATTTGCTTTTTATGAGGTTATCCATGTTTCATGACCTAATTCATGAGTTTGGCATGGTGACCCAAGTTGACTTTGATCATTTTTCTTATTATTTTTTCTTAATTGATTTATTTTTAATTTCATCCTTCAATATTATATTAATTGAAAATCAGGTTTCATAGTTTGTTTTGATTTTCTTTTATTATATTAATTGAAAATTAGGTTTCATAGTTTGTTTTGATTTTCTTTTTATGAGGTTATCATGGTCTCATGTCTATGGTTGCAAATTTAAAAGGTTAACCTAGATCGATTCAATATATTGTCTTCTTAATATTTAAAAAACATATATCATCTTGAATTATTTTTAAAAAAATTATGTTTTAATGGTCATACAAGTTGTTTTTAGATATACCAAGTTGATCAGGTCACAATAAATCAATCTCTACACAATTTCAATTATTTTCCTGTTATAAAAAGTATTAACAATTGTAAAACCCTTTGAAAAATTTATGAAATTAATGAGGGAAAAACTATTTCATCTAATTAAGGTGCATATTTACCTTACAAGGAAAAATTATGAAAAATACCCAATAAATAAAAAACACATAAATACAAATTAAAACCAAATGGAATAAATAACTAATAAAAGAATTATGGTGAAATGTAGTCTAATAAAGTTTGATATTCCCTAATATAAATTCAACGAAAATGAGCATTTAAGTGAAAAATTACTCAAAAAGGTGTAAGGTATAGTAGTGGGACATAAAAATAATTAATAATAAAATTATATATATATATATATATATTGGTAGTTGGCCTGCTAAAGAAACATTAAGAGAGAGGGAGAAAACCCTAGATAAACCTTACAAGACTCTCAAAATAAGTATAGTGTAAACTTAATATGGACTTTAATGTTTGATAGTAACATGTTTTGCATTTGTTATCTTCTTTACTCTTAATACTTTGCATGTTAAATGGTTAATCTAGATTTATATTGTAACACTTGGTACAACAAATACTTAGCACTTTCATAACCCAACCGTATAATGTAACCGACACTTGTATTATGAAAGAAACTTAATTTGTTGTTAACATAAATGATAATCACGAATACCTAACAATATTTATAAGTATTAACATTATTTGAATAAGATAACTAATGTAATCATGTTAACAATTCATAATTCGATAAGAACCTCCTTTATGTGTAATTTCTAGTTGAATAATAAGAGTTTATACTATACTTGTTTGAAATACCATTAGTGGACCCTCTCATCTTGTTATTTGTTGTTATCATTGTTTAATATTCATATTGATCTTCCATCTCAAAGTTCTCATCAACTTATTTATTATTACTATTACTATTACTATTATTGTTTATAATTTATAAAATTAACCTCCTTGTGATTCGACCTTAGTCTTGTCGGATTATTTATTACTTCAACACTCTTGCACTTAGGAGAAGATATCAATCTTTTGGTTGTATCAAGTTTTTGCTGCCATTGCTGGAGAGGTAAACTCTTGTACAAATTATAGTATTTATTTTATTTTTTCTTTTCGCTTTTCTTGTATCTAACTTTGTTTCTTTTGTTTTGTCTCTTCTTCCTTTGTTTTCTTCTTTCTTTTTTTATATTCTTACACGTGTATAAAAGCGTGATTACATATATTAAGTGGTAGACTTTCTAAGATATCCTCATCATTTTCAGAAAATATGACTGAACAAGATAACCAGTTCCTTCATAATGAAAACAATGAGAATAACCGTGTTAGAATAATTAGAAACCACATGAATCCTACAAGAACAAGTGCACCATTATGCATAGTTACTGAACAAGATAACTAGTTGCTTCATAAAGAAAACAATGAGAATAACCGTGTTAGAATAATTAGAGACCACATGAATCCTACAAGAACAAGTGCACCATTATGCATAGTTTTCCTCCCTCGTGCATCTCATTTTAATTTTAAGTCAGACATTATTCAACTTTTACCTTCTTTTCATGGCTTAGATTTAGAAAATCCATACTTGCATTTAAATAAATTTGAAGAGATTTATAATACCTATAATGACTCAAATTATAGCATGAACACCATCAAATTAAAACTTTTTCCTTTTTCATTAGAAGATAAAGCTAAAATATAGCTACAAAATTTGAGACTAGGATCCATTCGTGTTTGGGATGAAATGGAACAACAATTTTTAAAGAAGTTTTTCCTTTTTCACAAAACAAACTCTTTCAAAAGACAAATCACCACTTTCACTTAAAAAATAGAAAAAACATTGTACCAATATTGGGATAGGTATCGAGACTTGCTTAGTACTTGCCCTCATCATGGTTTTGAAACATGGAGATTGGTTTTACTTTTTTATGAAGGCTTAACACCTAGAGATAGGCAAATGGTTGAATTGATGTGCAATGGAACTTTTGAAGATAAAGACCCTGATGAAGCAATGGAGTACTTAGACTTGTTAATTGAAAA